ACAATAGAAGCCCAACATAGCAAAGGTGACAAACGAAACCCTAGCAACTAAAACAAAATAACAGAAGGCAGCCGCCATGATCATCCTTGCAATAGGAGAAGCAGCAAGCAGACAACTACACACCAGGGCCAAAACAAAACAACAAACTTCCACACCAACACAACAAACAACCTCCCTAAATCCATTGGAACAAAGCCTTAAAATTGGAAAACCAAAAAACCAAAAAAACCCCAATAACAAACTCCACTGCAACGCACTTCGCACCCATTGAACCCAAACTCGCATCCGAGGGAACAACAGCCATACATCAGAAGAAACCGAAGGCTAAAACCAGCCCGTAGCCAGCAGAACCAACAAGAACCAATTCGTGGAAGGTGGTGGTGAAAGCACTCGAGTTGAAACTCTACCAATCTTCCGATTAAGACGCGAACACGCGTGTAGAGGATGAATCACTGCAAGCTTGGATTGAAGTGGGAACAAGTGAGGAAGGAGAGGAGTAGAGCAAGTGATATGGGTGAGAGTGGGGGGGATCTGGGGGATGAGGAGCAAAGGGGTGAAAGAGGATGAAAATCCAATAAAAAGGTTGGAGATTGATGTGAGATCTAGGGCTAAAAGGGGTTGGAGGAAGAAGAAAACATAATCAACATAACTGAAAAGGCATAAAGCCCTGAACTACTGAGACAAAGCTCAGAGAAACACCCATTAAGGGTGGGAAATTGCCACCGACTCTCAAAACTGGGAGAGAGGCAGAGCACAACGCACTTCGTATAACAATGGAATTTCTGAACTTGTGATATTGAAACATGGGAAATCAAATTTAGGACCTCAAGCATAAGAACTCTTAACCACTTAAGTTATAAGCCTCTTGCAAATTTAATATTATAATTAATTTATCTATAATAGTATACCAGTCAATTAATATTTGAGTTAATGAAATTTTTTTGAAAGAAAAACAATAATTGTATTCATAAATTATGTACAAAGACCATCAGCCACAAAGGCAAATACAAATGCCCACAAATGTGTAATACAAATATGGAAGCATAGTAACCACATAGGGTTAATCTAGATACATACAACAAAAGGTCAGAGAAATTTCGGCATAAAAGCCGCATGCTTGAACAAACTAGGCATGAATCACACCACTCAAATCTACTAATACAGCTACAACTTTTAACTATCACAAGTACAAAATACAAGTAGAGACTAGAAAACAATCAAGCACCCAACTCACAAGGAGTTGATGCAATTATTACAAAATAACAAAACTTCAAATAAACAACCAAAAACCAACAACCGCTGTTGTTGCCATTGCCACCATAGACGCTGTCACCACCTTGGAGATAGAGAACACCACGAGATTGCAACTAGTCACCTTACAACTAAAACACCAACCAACAAAACCACGAATCCAAGTAGATCTAGATAGAAGTAACCTCTCCACAATTAAAACCTCAAATCCAGTAGATCGAGAAAGAGAAAATAAGCGAGGAGGAAAGGAAAACAGAGATATGGAGAGAGGAGGAGGAGTGGCCTCCTCCCCCCTCCCCAGAACACAACAAAAGATGTTTGAGAAAGAGAAGGGAGGCTAGGGTTTTCCCAATTAGGTTTTTCTAGTAGGTTTGAGCTAATGAACTTTAAGCAAGTAGGAACCTTCGTATTTAGTTCATGGGAAAAGAAGTTTGGGAATGCGAAATTATTTGCTTTCCCATGTTTGGTAAGTCCAAGCTTGGGAAATGATTTCCTATTTCATGGGAAAATAGGGGGAAAATGAAACTTTCTATCCACATTGGCTTTCATTTTCCCTCATCATGGGAAACCAAGACAAGCATTAATTACAATTTTTTATGACCAATTTACCACTATTAACAATTAAAAATACCATGACAAACATTAATTACACTTTTTAATATATATGATTTTTGATTTAGGGATATAATTAGAAAACTAAACAAAATGTATTTTCAATCTATACACTGACCATAAATAGGAAAGGAAATTATAAAATGATATATTTTTAGTTATTTTTTCAACGTTACCAAATACAGGAAATGAATCTTCGATTTCTCTTTTCATGAGAAACTAAATAGAGATTGATTTCTCATCAATTCATTTCTGTGAACCAAACACAGAGTGAGTACTCCACTAATGAAATTGAATGGGGTCATGATCGAGTCTACTGCCCATCCTTTGTTCAGTCAATTTCAAGAAACGCTTGGTGGGGCATTCCTATCCAACCAGCCAAATCCCCAAGGGGCTGCAATGATATTCATGAAAAACTTGACATGGCGATGTGCAAAATATATCAAACAATTCTCAAAAGTTGTGGTCTTCTCGATGCCAGCAGCATGGGTGGAGCAAATAAATACATCAGATGAAATGTACAAACCAAGCGGGCCATATTGGAAGTCACATCAATAATTCAGCTTTGCCTTCGTAGCAAATTTGAGTGATAAAGTTATAATATAAAATATCAGGTGCATGAAGGAGATTGGGAAACGCACGGCTCTGTTAAGATCTGGAATTATCATCTAGGTAATTAAGTAACTATATGGTGCACCCACTCAGGGACAAGTTTAATTATTTTCTGTTTCGTTGTTAACTATATCATATGGGTATGAAAAAAAACATCATAAGATGAGCTTATATATATATTTTGTGTGTGAAATAAATGTGACAGGGGACGAAGTTGGGACTCTCAAAGAAAAGGTCAAGTACGACGACGAAAACAAGGCAGCAACTCTGACTGGATTGGACGGAGAAATGTTCAAGTATTACAAAAGCATTAAGGGCATCTTTCAATTCGCTCAAATGGGTGATGTTAGCGTTGCCAACCTGACGATTCATTATGAGAAACGGAATACGGATGTTGAAGCTCCAGATCGATATGTTGGTCTCATGGTTACCCTCGTCAGGGATCTTGATGCTCACTTTGCCAAGGCATAATTGAATATCAAAAGCATTATACATATATGTTAATGCGTGCTTTGTCTGGTTAATATTATAAGTAATGCTTTGTTTTATGTAAGTTTTTCTTTGTGGCATGAAGGGATTTCATATGTGATATATTGTGATGTATTAGCTATGTGAAATAAAATGCGTGGTGTGCTATATATATATATCTCCAGTTCTTGCTCATCATTCATATATCAAGTACAAAATAGACTCATAAATCAACAATATCCAACTGGTATATGTTGCGCGCTTGGATTCGAATTTCACATTGAACACTTAGCCTTGTAGATGAAAAAGACACAAGCTGAAAGTAGTAAAAAAGTAGAAGCAGCAGCTGGAAGCTCTTTCCTTCATCATTTGTGCTCTCCTTTTCCCTCTTCGTCTCTTTCTTTCTTTATCTCTCCTTCTTCCCTTTGAAATTGCTGGGTTTACTTTAATATTAACAATCGACATAAAGAAAATAAAGTGTTGCTGGATGCGACGAATGAAGGATAGATTCCACAAAGAAAAAAGTTTTCACGTTCTTCCATTCCATAAGCAACACTGAAAAATGCCCTAATAATGTATGGATGAAACTCTCAGGACAACTAATCCAAAGCAAACACGACTCAGCCCAGCCTGCAGTGCAATAATGTATGGACTTGCAATTTCTATCTTGGAATTTATAGGCAAGAATGAATTGAATTGTGTGCAATATATATACATATATATATATATATTGATTGAGTGTGAACAAGTTTTCCTTGATGTATTAACTCATCCAAAAGAATAAATTATGATCAGTATATTGTGCTACTCCTAAAATGGTGTCCTTTTTTTATTTATTGTTTTTCTTGTTTTGCATTAACATAAATACCTTATTTCTACTTAACCATACAATTTATCACTCAAATTTGCTATGAAGGCAAAGCTGAATTATTGATGTATCTTCCAATATGGCCCGCTTGGTTTGCAGTACTTTTCATCTAGTGCAATTATTTTCTCCACCCATGCTGCTGGCATCGAGAAAGACCACAACTTTTGAGAATTGTTTGACATATTTTGCACACCGCCATGTCAAGTTTTGCATGAAAATCTCATGGCAGCAGCGGATCGTTACCCCTTGGGGATTTGGCTGGTTGGATAGGAATGCCCCACCAGGTGTTTCTTGAAATTGACTGAACAAAGGATGGACAGTAGACTCGATCGTGACCCGATTCAAGTTCATTAATGGAGTACTCACTCTATGTTTGGTTCATGGAAATGAATTGATGAGAATTCAATTTCTATGTAGTTTTTTATGGAAAAGGAAATCGAAGATTCATTTCCTATGTTTGATAATGCTAGAAAAATAACTAAAAAATATCATTTTATTTCCTTTTCTATGTGTGGTTAGGGTATGGATTAAAAATACATTTTTTTTAGTTTTTCAATTATATCCCTAAATCAAAAATCACATATATATATATATATATTAAAAAGTGTAACTAATATTTGCTATGGTATTTTTAATTGTTAATAGTGGTAAATTGGTCCTAAAAAGTTGTAATTAATGCTTGTCTTGGTTTCCCACGAGAAGGGAAAATGAAACCCAATATAAATGTAAGATTTTATTTTCCCCCATATTTTCCCAAGCCAAGACTTATCAAACATGAGAAAGCAAATAATTTCTCATTCCCAAGCTCCTTTTCCCATGAACCAAATGCAGTAAATACGAAGGTTTCTACTTTCTTAAAGTTCATTAGCTCGAACCTACTAGAAAAACCTAATTGAGAAAACCCTAGCCTTCCTTCTCTCTCTCAACCTCTTTTGTTGTGTTCTGGGAAGTGAGGAGGAGGAGTCCTCTCTCCCACTCTCTTTTCCTTCCCTCCCCACTTATTTTCCCCTTCCTCATCTACTGGATTTGGGGTTTTAATTGTGGGGAGGTTACTTGTGTCTAGATCTTCTTGGATTTGTGATTTTGTTGGTTAGTGTCGTGGTGGTGGTGGCTGATAAGTCCACAAATTTACACATTTATGTATAATTATGACAGTTAATGAAATGCTTAGAATAAATTATAAATAAAAATGAAGTCTGATGGCAAGGATGTAAAAATATAGGAATACTACAACATCTTATATCATACTAGTCATTTAAGTTTGAAATTGGGTTTTACACGTAGATTTATAGAATGATGGGTATATGTATATGAAATAGAAATTGTAGGGACCTATATCGGACAAGCCCTAATAATAATTAGATCAAATCCAACACTGACAAATTGTACAAGGTCTTCAGCAACCAGCACCACGCCTTTCCCAAGGCCTCCTCTGATCATGTACACGATGTTGTAGTTCATGAAGGTGGCTGGGAAACTTCTGGTTCCATCAAGCTTTGGACATACACCGCGACGTAATGACGCCGACACATATGTTGATTTTACTTTTTAATTCTCAATTTTTCAAATTGTATATCTTTTACTGTGTTTACTCGTTGGAATGTATTTTTTTTTCTTTGCATATATTCATGGTTTGAGATTAGGGGTGGACACGGTCCAGATTGGATCAGTTTCACTTCAAAACCATGGCTGAACCAATAACAATATCACAATTCAGTTGGATTCGGTTTTAACAAAAATCATGAAGAAAACCCAACTGTCTACTTACTTTCTCTTCTGCGTGGCATCATGTGTAGATGGAAATGTTGAGATCTTCAAGGAAAAGATGGAAATAGATGAAGCAAACAAGTGGGTAAATTTTTCCGCTTTGGAGGGACCTGTGCTGGAGCAATACAGAAGCTATAAGATCAGTTTTCAGGTCACTCCAAAAAGTGAAGGAGGAGGTCTGGTGAAAATTACTATACATTATGGTAAACTTAATGACAACGATCCACCTCCACATAAGTATCTTCGCTTTGCGATCAATGTTGTTCATGATATGGATGCCCTTCTTAAAGAATAAACGTACCAACCAAGATTAATATATATTATATATATATAAAGAAGAATAAAAAAGTTTATTAATTAGAAACTATAAATGATATTATTATATTGAGAGCCAGCTAGCTGCCTTGTTCTTCATCGTTTCCGTGTGTATCTTTAATTTTATGGGCAAGCATGAATTGGATTATTGATGTATTATTGTTATCTTGCTTGTGTGAGCAAGTTTCATATGGATAATCTTCCAGATTAATAAATTGCTTTATCGTATTGTGTTAGTACTCCTAAATGCGCGTAGTTAATTGCATGGGGTTCATGATGGAAATGGGGCTGGGCTGAATTGAAGTTTTAAACTAACCTCCCTAGACACTAATTAAATCTTACTTTAATGCTTGAATTAGAGCAAAATTAAATCCTAGTTTTAAAATCTGAAATGTAAATAAAATTTGAAGAAAAAGACCAGGGATGAATACAAACAAAACAAACAAAAAAGGCCCCATTAAAGAAAGAAAAAAGAAAAGAAAAGAATGAGAGTGAGACCCCACCATGAAAGGGAATGAATTTGAAGTTTGTCAAATTTGGGAATTAATGCGTGTGCTAAAAGTTAAAACAAGGATTTAGTCTGCTTAGAGCATCTACAGTGATGCTCTCTATTTCTTAGCTAAAATTTGGCTAAGAATATAAGAAAACTATTTTATGAGCTCTCTAAAAAATTTCAACTACAACCATACTCCCTAATTTGGAGAGTCATAAATGCTATAACTCTTTTTTAATTGGTCCATCTCTATTAAAAAATAGAATAAAAAATAGTTAACATTAAATAAAAGTTTGAACTACTCATTAAATAAAGCAGCATTAAATTATAAGGAGCTACTAGAAGTCCTTTCTCTCTCCTCAGATTTAGGAGCTCCTAGAGGACTCCCTATTTTAGGAGGTGGATAGGGAGTGTGGTTGGAGTTGCATTTTTACGATTCCTCCATAAAATTTGTCTAAGGAGGTGGTTTAGGGAGCCCATTGTGAATGCTCTTAATCCCGGGCTAGGTAGTTCCTATTCTATTATGTTTGGATGAAAGAATTGAAAATTATATAAAATTCTAAAATAACGAAATTTAAATTTTCATCATTTAAATTTTTGGCAATTGATGATCTCAGTGTTTGAATTTATGTATGTCAAATTTTATAAATGACGCTATCGAAATTGTAAAATGAAGCCTATTTTGATAGAAATTAAATTCGGAAATTTGATGCCCCAATTTTCACTATTTTCTATGCGCATTATTAAATAAATTTCGTGCCTACATTTCCAAACAAGAGAATTGTCAATTTCTTCTCTGAAATTTCCGAATTTTAGCTAAATTATGAGTTATTTTTCTTCATACAAATGGGTTTAGGGTTTATAATGTTGATAGGTTTGCATGTCTTGTGCTTGTGTGTACAATAACAAGCGCCTCTTCTTGGAAGCGTAGTAGGCTAGTCGATAGTAATGGTGGATGATGCCGTACAGGCAGTCCCTCAGCCCCACCACGTCAAACGTCTCAATAAATCTAAAATCGGTCGTCCTAGATTTCGCGCCCGCGAATCTCTGGTACTCCTCAAACACCGAAGCCAAGCACCAATTCTGAAATTTCCTCAGCACACCCACGAGACAACCCGTCCGATGCTTGCCACGTTTGCAGTGGATCAACACCGGATGGTTCCTCACGTCGATCAACACCTTCAGAGCCTCCAAGATCGTCTGCTTGGGGATCGACGATGCAGCCGAAGAAGAAGCCTCCTTCTTCCCCTCGATTCCGAATTGGAACAGCTGGATGTTTCGAGACCGAAGAAACTCCAGATTCTCCTCCGGGTAGGGCTCGGGGCACAGATATATGATGGATCGGAGTTGAAGGGTTTTGAGGAATGGGAAATTGGGCGGCTGAGGGAAGCCTGATCTGAAAATGCCCTCGTCCACCATCGAGAAATTGATCGGCGGCTCCAAAACGTCGTTGTCGTCCTGGATCATCTTCTGTTTCGCTGCCGTTTCTTTCTTAAATTACAACTAAGCGATATTATTTGCTTGATTTGACGGAGTGATTGCACAGTTTGAATGTATTTATATGCGAACTAACTATCGAACCGAATCCAACAATGAGCCAATTTAGTTTCTAAACGAACTAACTAAATCCCTAAACTGATTACAATTCCTAGAACTCGAACGTTGTCGTACTGTTTTATTATGCTTCTAGGAGAGGACGGAGCCCTTGGAATTTTTATTTTTATTTTTTTATTTTAACTTCTAATTTCAAAATTCGTGTTTGTTGTAAAAACGGAGATACGGTAAAAAGCGAAGTGGATTTGGTTACACGTTTTTCCCAAGCTGAAGGAGGAAGTAGGGGTAATCAATATGTAATTTATTAGTAGGTGTAGCAGGGCATTTTTGAAATAGTCAAAATAAACTATATATATAAAACAAAATGTAGAGAATAGTGAAACATTCAAAATATCAGAAAATATCTTTGGTTAATCCAAACTAACCAAACATTAAGAATTGAATTTATTAATTAAATGAGGATAATATGGTAAATTCACACTTTTTCATATTAAAAAAATTAAAATTAAAAGAAAAATCGTATAATGGATTCTATTTTTATGGAACACAACTTTCCATTGTCTTTTTTTAATTTTAAATGTAAATGAAAAAAGCCTCTTGCAGGCGCGGAAGTGCGTGCAGAGAGGCTAATATAAATAAACAAACAACAAAGTATATATTATATTATGATGAGCTTTGTCACGCCCCGGACCCGGGGGTCGGTGGAAACCCCGCGCTCGGTGTGTAAGAAAATAAAAACTAAAATAAAATAAAAAGAAAGCCGAAATATGGGTTTAAAATAAACTTCTCTTATAAAAATAGCTCCAAAATCTTACAACTTTACAATTAATAAATAAAGCTCTATCACTTGCATCTAATTCAGCCTCAACTGGTTTAGTCTTTTTCTTGCCCACTAATTCATATAAAAAATTAAATAAGGTGAAGGGTGAGCAACCACAGCTCAGTAGGGACATGAGACCTTACCACAGTAGATTGATATAACTAAATTAAGTGACATACAATCACACAGCCAAATATCACATTAATAATAATAATAATAATAATAATGCATGAATGCTCCTCATCTACTCATGTTAATTCATATAACTGGACAAGCATACATGCACGTCTCATACCATGTTTATACCATTTGGTCCCGAATGCCTATTTATCTGAACTAACACCCATCTCAATCATCCCATAATTCCCATTTTGTTAGTCATCTTGTCTAACTCCTTGTCCTTAGTCTCGAATCACCCAATAAAAATCATGTGCACTGTGGAATCCCTGAGACCTGGTGCCTGCCAAAAGTTACAACTACACAAAAGACCATTCCCATTACCCTCTTTTCCACCATTATTTTCTCAACCCAAGAATTCTAAATAATTTCCATGACATTATATAGTTCTTCTGTTCACATATCTCATAAAAACAATGTAATCATTTAAATATCACCAATGTACATATAATCATGCCCACATTGTTCAATAGTTAAGAGTACGTAAATATCCAATACAAGAAACGTAAATCAAACAGTAATATCACACATAATATAGAGCTCACGAAATTTAATTAAATCAATCTTCTGTAAATGGCCCCTAAGAAACCTCTACCTCGAATCCAAATAATTGCTCCAATTTAAGAAAATACAAGCTAAGCCCTATATCTCCTCCAAGAATTTCATCATCTCTCTCTCTTTCTTTCTTTCTTGGTTCATTTTCTATGCACATAATGTCCTATATATAAGAAAATAAGTCAGCAGTAAAACACTTCCTATTGGATAGTGTAATGGCGGTCGATTTATACTTCCTAACCAAGTAATATATATAGCATATAAGGAAGAATGTCTTTGTGATTCTTCCAAATCCTCCAATCATATCCTTTTCTCTTTGGTGAGTTGGCTAACCTTGCTACTTGACATGGTTTTCACTTTGACACGTACAAGGTCTATGAATTGACAAACTAACTAACAAGGTCTATTAATACATATCCACACACACACACACACACACACACACACACACACACACACACATATATATATATAATAGAATAAGATATTTATGTAATACACACATATATTAAGATATATGTTGTAAGTGCCTTTTTCTTCTAGCAGTTATAAATGGGTTGGGCTTCTGTAAGGAGCAAATTGAAGAAAATATCCCCTGTGTCTGAGTTCAAAGATCAGACCCCAAAATATTTCGAAATGATAGTAAAGTCTTAGGAAACACCCTGGTTACCTTCACCAACAAAAATAATGGCTGCTTACAAATAAATTCTTAATGCTTACAGGTAGAATCTTAGCTTAGCACAAGAGGCTTGTGGCATGAGAGCAAAGTTGCTATGAGTTTAGTACTAAAGAGAAAATTAAGTGTTCCTAGGGGAAAGATGGGGTATTAGGGTAAGAGAGAAAGGGTTTTGCAGAAAGGCTTGGTTGAGAATGGGGGAAAGAGAAAAAATGATAGCTTGAGTGCTTTTCCGGCAGCTTGACAGAGGTTCTATCAGTAGAACAGCCTGCCAAGAAGGAAAACTAATGAGGAAGAAGATGAGCTAAGCACGAAAATTGCTGGTTTTGAAAGTAAGAGAGGAAGCTTGCTCATTGGTTGTGTATTAAGTTTGTTGGGTAGAAGAGGCCCTATTTATAGCCGCTGGAAGCCATTCTTTTTCCAAGAAACCCTAATGGCTTCCATCCCATTTTGCCAAGTCTTTCCATTCCTTTCTCCCCTCATCCCTTCAATCATCCTATTTTGGTGAAATCTACTCTACTCCTTTGCACAAAATCAGGGATTTTGGGAGCTCAAGGTCACTTTCCTGCGGCTGCCTTAGTGAAGAATTCCTATTTTCAACCATCCCATTTCCTCTCTTTCCTTCCCTCTTTCATGGTCAGATCTTATGAAGGAAAGAAGTTGGTATACATATTGGTTCAAAGGGTGGCTCCTTGCGCACCAACA